TAGACCAGAATTAAACAGCAATGCAATTTTCAGGTGCTCCAAAAAGGTGTTTGCATGCTAGCATAACAAAGCATGTCCATGACACTTCAGTGATGAAATCTAAAGGCAGTTGAATAAATAAGTAAAGTCTAAGTGAACAGATCCCTTATACATGCCCTGGAAGATCCCAGCAAATGACACTTCTCTTTACACTGATCTGGAGATCTAACTCATCCCAAACAAAAGCTCCACAGGATTATTTTTATGGATATAGACAAATTCATATATACATATATATACATATATATATATAGTTGAAAAAGAAGAGTAGCCAAAGCAATTTTTGGAAAAGAACAAAGCCAGGGAAATTCCCCCATCTAATTTTCAACCTTTCTAAAAGCTGCCCATCTCAGGATGGCAGCAAAGGAATTGCAGTCATAGATGACTGCCACAGGACAGGGCTCACAAATGGACCCAGATAAACACAGTCAGGCGGTCTCTAACCAAGGTGCAAAAGGCAGTTCAATCATTACAGATATGCTTTCCACAGTTAACACTGGAACACTTAAACATAGGCTGAAAAAAAAATGTTAAAAGAAAAAGCTCACAACCTTATATAAAATTATTGAATGAGCATAGATCTAAGTGAATAATACAAAAATATACAATTCTAAGGAAAAGATAGAAAAATTGAATGGCCTAGGTTTTCAGTAAAGAATTTCTAGTCTGCTTGGTGCGTAGGCAAGCCCTGGAGGACCAAGCAGACTACCCCGGGAAAAGTTTCTCATTGTCTCACTAGAGCTTCCGAGGACATTCTGCCTCATCACCCTTAAGGCATACCTGGAAAGTGCTTAGCAGCATCAGGGAATATGCTCTTTAGCAACAGGGTCATCTGTTTGTTTCAGTTCACTCTGCATTAAGGACACTTGGAAGTGGCACTTTTAGCTACTCTTCTTTACTTTCTATGCTAGCAACAATCTGAATATAAAAACACCCACTACTAGCACACACACACACACATACACCACACACACACACACACACAGAGAGAGAGAGAGAGAGAGAGAGAGAGAGAGAGAGAGAGAGAGCGCCTGGCTTTGCCCTGTGTTTCACAAACCCTAAAACAGAAACTCTCCAAGCTCAACATTAAGAAAACAACCTTCCCCACCATAATGGGTAAAAGACTTGAGAGAACTCATCAAAGGAAACAGGTAGGAGATAAGCATAAGAAAAGCTTCCTAGCTGGGCAGCGGAGGCTCATGCCTTTAATCCCAGCACTCCAAGGCAGAGCCAGACTGATCTCTGAGTTTAAGGCCAGCCTGGGCAACAGAGCAAGATCCAGGATAGACACCAAAACTACATGGAGAAACCCTGTCTCAGAAAAAAACAAAAACAAAAACAAACAACAACAAAAATTAAAACCATAAGACATCAAGGGGCTGGAGAGATGGCTCAGTGGTTAACATCAGTTGTTGCTCTTGCAGAGAAACCAGGTTCGGTTCCCAGCACCCTCATGGCAGCTCACAACCATCTATAACTCCAGATCTAGGAAATCGAATGACCTCTTCCGGGCCCCATGCCCACCAGGCACACACATAGTACACAAATACACATGCAGACAAAACATTCATGTGCATAATATTAAAACTAATCAAAAAGTTTAATGAGACATCAGTAAATGCCTTTTATCATAGCTAATATAAAAAGGTGAATATTTAGAGCAATTGGAACTCTTAAGCGGATGGTTAGAAGGTAAATGGTACAGATCTCTGGAAAAAGAGTTTGCAGTATTTTTATACATGCAATTCAACAGCTCCGTCCTGGGAATTTAACCTTAACAAGAAGCTAGATTTAACTTTAACCTGAGCCAAGCTCTCCTTGCAAAGGGGAATGAATAATAAATCAACTGTGGTATACCCATACGGAGATACTGCTTAACACCAAAGAGCAGAAAGCTATTGATGCATGCAAAACGGATGAATCTTAAGTGCAGTTTTCTAAGACAGAGACTTTCTCAAAAGGTGCCATATAGTTCCGTTTCTATCATTGTCTCAAAATGACAGAACCAGGATGACAAAGACCAGATCAGGGGGTATGATCAGACCAGGGGCTGAAGGTATGGGAAGCTATGACCATAAAGAGGGCAAGGGACATTTTGGGGAGTGCGAAACTGTTCTGTATCCTGGTTATAGTTAGATCTGCATGAATCTATGAGAACTGAAATAAGAAATCTATATGTGCTAAAAATCCTGAGAGCTGCAAAAAGCAATTTTACAGTACATACAACCAAAGGGAAAAAAAATATACATTATTTTCAAAGAGATAAGGAGAAAAAAGATAGGGTAACTCTAATACAAGAAATTTAAGGGTTGATACAACCAAAATTGGTTTTTTGTTTGTGTGGGGTTTTTTTTTTTTTTTTGTGTGTGTGTGTGTGTGTGTGTGTGTGTGTGTGTGTGTGAGTGTGTGTGTGTGTGTGTTATATGCATGGCGTGCCAGTGTAGGCCAGAGGATGGTGTTGGAGCCCCTGGAGCTAGAGATACAGGCGGTTGTGAACCACCTGATTTGGATGCTGAGTATGTAACTCTAGTCCTCTAGGAGACAATACCTGTTCTTAACCGCTAAGCCATGTCTTCAACTCTCAAAATAGAATTTGTAGGTCTTGCTTAGATCCCAATTTAAACAAACTAACAACAAAATAAGAGCATTTTTTTTTAATATAATCAGGGGACATTTACAAATAATCCTAGAATTGCATGCTAAATTGAAGTTTCTGCAGTATGAGAATAGCATTCTGGCTAGATGTAAAAAAAAACCAAAACATTTTCATCTCTTACATATGTATTCTGGAGTACATATGTGTATAAAATAACATTAAATCTGGGACTTGGCTCAAAAGACTCGAGGGGGGAAATGTCTATGATAACGACTGAAAATATAACCTGGAGGTTAGTTATACTATGCTATCTTTAGTATTTTTGTAGCTCTCCAGAAATCTTTCTGGAAAACAAACATTTAAAAGATAGTATTTTTCAACATGTATTATAAAGCGAGAGACACAGACCTGCAGTTGATTTCAATCTCAATGTCAAAATTTTCCAGTGACTCCAAATATATAAATGCTGCATGTGCTAAAAATAATACTGACATGGGAAAAAAAAATCTTGAAATCGTGTACTTTCAGCAATAAACTACTGAGATTACTAGGTTAGTAAAGATTTGCAGTCTGATTTTAAAACAGCAACTCAAAGCAGTTTTCAATGACACCATCAGGAAGTAAAGGGAAAAAGGGGAATTTTAAAGCAGTAATTTTGACCCTACAAGTCACAGCCTCCAAACAAAATTAACCAAGCCTTTAAATTCTCATTAATATTTACAAAGCAGTGCTTCCTTCTGCTTGCCCAGCTTGCTCTTTTGAGCGCTGTTATTATTTATTGTTTCTTGAACACTCAGCACTGCGTGGGATTTGGATGATAAATTTCCTCCCTAGGGGACACTACTCGAAGCCACATAAACAGAGCACAAAGAATAGCTATTTAAGACATGAACGCCAAATGCAAAACCGAAGAGCACATTCTGATTCTTTTAAAAATAAGGTTATAAATTCTAAGTTCTAAAGGAAGAATATGCATTCAAGCCCAGGGCTGTCCTCCTCCGCACTGTAGACTTGAAGAGGCCAAAGGGGTGAGGGAGAGTCTAGCAACTCCTTTAAAGCTCTTCTTGGCAGGAGGAAGCCCAAGTTGCAAATATAATAAGAATTTACTTTAGGGACTGGAAGGATGGCTCAGTGGTTGAGTGCTTGCTGTTTCTGCACAGGACCAGAGTTCAACTCCCAGCACCCAACCTGGGCAGCTCACAACTGCCTATAACTTTAGTTCCAGAGGATCCAATACTCTATTCTGGTCTCTGTGGGTACCTGCACAAACATGCACATATTCACACACACATAGACATAATTAAAAACAAATTCTTATTTTTAAAAAAGAATTTGAGCCTAGCTTAGTGGCATACGCCTTTAATCCCTGCACTTGGAAGGGGAGGCAGGGCAAGGAGATCACCATGAGTTCCAGGCCAGCCTGGTCTATGTAGCTTTTCCAGACCAGCCAAGACTACATAGTGTTTTCCCAAAAAAATAAATAAAACAATTTGAACCCTTCTTATGTTAATAAGTGAATATAAAAAGAGCTAATCTGGCAACCATGCCAAGTTCTGTTCAAGAAACTAAAGCTGTGAATTATGAGGAAAGGAATATCAAAAGATCCCACCTCTCAGCTGCTATACCCATCTGTAGGAATAAAGTAGTGTTTATGTTTCTGGAAGTCAAACAAGAATGTATTTTCATTTTAAAACTTTTCACTGTTATCGCTATGTACCAGAAGAATCAAACCACTAAATTGTCAGTTTATAAACTAATGACTTTATTTTTCATAATAATTATGTAAGTCTCAAATATGATTTTCCCACTTATATTTTTTAAAATTTTATTTGTTTATGTATTTTGTTAGGTATGAGCACTCCATCTGCATGCATGCCAGAGAGAGCTTCAGATCCCATTACAGATGGTTGTGAGCTACCATGTGGTTGCTGGGAATTGAACTTAAGACCTTTGGAAGAACAGCCAGTGCTCTTAACCGCTGAATTGTCTCTCCAGCCCTACATTCATGTTTTAAAGGCTTACTTCTATTATACTTAGCTTGGCTGGAATATTTAAATTCTATTACTACTAGTTCATAGGAGGGTTATTCCAGGCTTGCTTTCCAACATTTTTATCAGCCTAGTTTACAGAAGATGCACAATATTTAGTAAATATAAATAAATCACACTGTAAAAAAATAAAAGGCTTTGCTTTGGTACCTACCAAACATTTTGAAATTTAAGGATGTTGAATTTCTGAGTTTTCCTATTTAAAGTAAACTGAATGGGATCTGTTGAAAGCCCACGTGGCTCACCTAAGAAACTATGCAAGCTCACATCAGAACACATTCTCATTTTTCAGTGCCTCATACATATCCAACACATGATTTGTTTTAAAGTTTCACTTTATTTTTAATTGATACATAATTGCCTCTAAGTGTACAGTCCGTTCTTTTCTGAAGAAAGGGTTCCATTCATTGCGTAAAAAGCATGGGGTTAGTGGTAAGATGGTAGAAACCAATGTCCTAGGGAATTTGGAACAAAAAGTAGCTGAAATGACTCTCTATGAGTTACAATTATTTTGCCTGTTCAAAGTCTGTAAGTATTATTAATGTTATAAGAATATAAAATTATTTCTGCCTCAACTTTAAGGATCAAAGAAATTTATGCTCTTTAGAATTTGAAAGACAAGTAAGACATTAAGGCTCTCAAGTTAGAAAATCTTCAATATTCACTGTATAAAAAAAAAGGCTAAACCTTTTACAGCATAACTTTAGACTCTTTGGGTTCAAAAATTTTCTTTTTCCTGTGTTACTACTCTTTGTATTTTATTTCTTCCTCTGTAACAATCATACCTAAAAACAGCTTTACTATTTTCCCCCCTTTCCAGGTTACATTTTATCTCAAGTAGATTTGAACCCGGATTAGCTGTGTGTAATAGGATTCCAGGGTGCAGACAGGCGTCTAGCTGTCACTGACGATCTGTCTTGCGATCAGCTCTCTCATTATTTCGTTGGTACCACCGTAGATTGGCTGAACCCGAGCATCCACATAAGCCCTAGATAAATTAGAAGAGAGCTGAATTCATATCAACATGGTAGAAATGTTAAAGTCCATCTTTCCAGATAACTACTAATTGTTTAGTTAAGGAACTCTAAGCAGTAAGAGCTCCTTACAAATAACTGGGTTTTTCCAGTACAACATTCACACTAGGTTGGTATCCGAAAAGCCATTAAGATAAGATATTACAACTCAAAACAACCCAGGTACACTAACTTAATTTTATAAAACTGAGCATATATAACAACTTGAAAAGTCTATGTTTAGAAGTACACGGAGCGTCTTAGTTTCTTATCTTTTAGTCTGCCCAGAAAGCTGAAATCCCCTGACCTTAAGGGGAAAAAAAATTACTTATTTCCAGACATTTCTTTTAATGTCATCACTACAAGCACCCCTGATGTTTAAAAAAGTTATTTTCCCCCCAAAAGTTAACAAGTAGATTATTCTGGGGGGGAAATGATTAATAGTCACTCTTGTCTCAGCTAGGATTAAAGTCCTAAGTGGCTGAGCCCACTGAGACCCACACAGTCATGCACACACAACCACGGGTTCACTTTTCTCTCATTCTGCTGCTGGGAGAGAACCCTGCCTAACAGGGGCACTGAACCCAGGATCTTCACAGCTGAGAGCTCCTCCACGGAGCCCCAGCCCCAGCCTTAGGACTCACTTTAGACAGCTATGGTAGCAGCCATCTATCTGTTCTCACCCTTTCTCCTTTCCCTTCAGCCCCCTGGAACCCAGGGGACAGATATTACTGCTTTGCAGGCTTAAAAAAAAAAAAAAAAAAGGAGATTTAGAGAGGCTGATGCATTTGCTAATTAATGATTACCATTTACTGGTGGCATAACAGATAATTGTCCGACTGGAACAAGAATGTAGGTGTCTCGCCTCTTTGGCAAGAGAACTTAGGTCACAATACTTTCATTGTCCCAATCCTGTAGAGCTAGTTATTGAAGCCCAAGACTTTTCGTGACAGAAAAATTTAAGACCTTTCTTTCTTTCAATATAAAATTGGGGCTTCAATTATTTAATTTCTAAGACAAAACGTGCTAATTTCTCGGCATATGACCAACTTTGAATTTACACTTTTCCCCATTTCCCAGGGTACTTTGCAGATAAGTAGGCCCTCATTTAATATTTACCTACGGGATGAACCACATTAGAAAGGGAATTAGGGCTCCCGGTTCTTTCTGAGATATATAAAGCCCACCCCCAAACCCGGGAAGATTTTGTTGTCCTCTACAAAACCAAGCACTCGCATCCTCTGAAGACTTTCCTAGCATTCCAGCCTACCCAGGCAATCCCAACGCTTCAGACATTTTTGAGCTGGGTTGGGTATTTATTTTCACATTAAAGGAGTTCTACCAGGATATGTAATGACAGACCAGCAGACCTTTCATAAGTTACTAATTAAATTGACTCTACTAAGATTAACAGAGAAAGGCAGTAGAGAAATGTTTAACTGCAGTGAAGTTTTCTGTCTCACCTCCTCCACCTAGAACGGCTAAAGATATCTTCAAGGGTCTAAAGCGAAACTTAATAAAACTAAAATCAACTCACATGCCAAGAATTAGCTATCTACAAATCGTAAAAGGGAACAAAACCCCCCTTTTACCTATAAAGCCAAGACTCAATAACTTATCTATCACTTTCTCCCCCACCCCCACACTAAATGGAGCTTAATCTGGGGCAGTTATAAGAATCACAAGTTGGATGATTAATTCTTAAATCAAAGTCTGTATATACTATAGCCATATACTGTCTAATGTGTGATTGGCTTTTGTACAATCAGGATTTCCCACATCTTTGGGGGAAAGAAAGCTTTCCAGATAAAAGATTCGCATACTCTTTGAACTGGAAAGTCAGGCAAGGACGGTGATTACTATTTCTTAAAGGAGTTCAAGTCTCCCGAGCTGAAAGTAGAAACTGTAAGTCATCAGTTCCCAGGTTTTCTTGCTACTGACTTAAAGCAATGGACTCTAAGACAGCAGACACCCCAGCTTATGGCACATTATAACCTTACCAAGGTACTGGACCTCTCTTCACTTGGCATGCCTTTCTTAGGACATAAACTGAGCCACACAGACACTGAACCAAGACATGCCTACATTCCCAGCAGCAGTTACAAGAGCTTAAGCAGACAGATATAAACATCCATTATCATTTCGCTCACAAAGCGCTCTTATAAATAGGATGGATGATTGCTGCCAAAACAAAAATGCACAGGAAAAACCCCATGGATGATAACCTCTGGGCTAGCATAATGCAAAACCTCACTTCTATTTCATGACTACACAGGATCTACAAAGGAAGCTCTGCTGTGACCAAGGCCTGCCTGAAGTAGTTCTGAAAGGACACACCGAAGTCTAAGTCAAATGATTTGTTTGGAAAAACAAAAACAAAAACAATTTCATGCTTATGTTCTCTCTCAGAGAGAAAAACACTTGATTGATAGTGAGTTTATTATAAAGTTATAAATTACAGACACCCAGTACGTAAAGCTTCTAAGCTGCGTGATAACTCTAGAATTAGAAAGTTATACTTACGCAGGAACCTCTGTTCTTAACGAAACGGCAATAAAAAGTTCGTGTTCCTCAATAAGGATTAGAAACCCATGGGATACCGCCACTTAGCCTTGTTAGAGTGGGGCATTCAAAGGTATCCGGCTAACAGTGTGAGTAGGCATTTGTTTGATACTTTCTCTAACTATACAAAGATATCCAGGTAAAAAATTAGGAAAAGTTTTTAGATGCCTATAACATTCCTACTCTCAGACTCAGAACTAAAGCAGGTGTTTATGTGTATTTATCAAAAACTTCCTTGGGCAATTTCTATAAACTGAATATACTGTTTTTTTAAAAAAGATTTATTTATTTATTGTGTATACAATGTTCTGGCATGTGTGCCTATATGCCAGAAGAAGGCACCAAATCTCATAGATGGTTGTGAGCCACCATGTGGTTGCTGGGAATTGAACTAGGGACCTCTGGAAAAGCAGTCAGTGCTCTTAACCTCTGAGCCATCTCTCCAGCCCCCCCAAAAATACTATTAAGTAAGAGGAAAAATATTTTCTAAGATGATAAGGAAGAGTGAAGGAGAGGCCAGAGATGATGAGAAGGGGATGGGAACAGTGAAGGGAGACATCTGGAGGAAGACACCATTTAAATTGTAACTGCTACTGTGTCTATCTGAGGAAATTCATATATAACCCACTAAAAAGAAGCATCTCTATTTTTATTTTTCTTTCTTTCTTTTTTTTTTTTTTTTTTCAAGACAGGGTTTCTCTATGTAGCTTTGGAACCTGTCCTGAAACTCTCTTTGTAGACCAGGCTGGCCTTGAACTCACAGATATTGGCCTGCCTCTGCCTCCTGAGTGCTGGGATTAAAGGCATGCTCCATGACCACCCAGCTTATTTTTCTTAAAGACAGAATTCCATTCAGAAAAAAAACTTTTATTTTTCAAGCAAGATTCTTAAGGCATGAAATGTTAATTCTTCTACTATGCAAGTGAATCATTCTGCATTGCTACATTGTTGTTGTTGTTTAAAAAGTAGCTAGGGATGGTGGTCAGTGGCAAATTGCTTGACTAACATGTTCACAGCCCTCAGTTCAACTCCTATGATGGCCAATTCTGATTATCAACTTGATAAAATCTGGGAAGACATAAGCTTCCCGGTGTAACTGTGAGGCGGTTATTTGTATTATGTCAGCCTTGGGGCATGCCCGTGAGATACTGTCTCAACTGGGTAAACTGAGGTGGGAGACTTACTTTAAAGGAAGGTGGTATCATTCCCTGGGCTTGGGTCCTGGACTGCCCACAGAGGAGGCCATCAGCTGAGCAGCAGGATCCTTCATGCCCTGCTTCCTAACCTCAGGTCCAACCTGACCACCCACTCAAGTTCCTGCAGCCAGGACAGCCCCACTCCAACGGGCGATATCCTCAAACTGTGAGCCAAAGTCAACCCTTCTCTCCCTTCAGGTGCTTTTGTTAGGGTATTTTATCACACCAATAAAAAAAGTTAGTAATACAGAGAGAGAGAGAGAGACAGACAGGCAGGCAGATAGATAGATAGATAGATAGAAGGGGAAAATACGAATAAATTAAGGAATGATATTTTTAAGTGGTATATCTTTTAAAGCCAAGCATCATATTTAAAAGTATGCTAGAGTCTTCATTTTCTTTAAAAATAAAATCCTAACGAGAAGCTAATAAAGTAAGGCCACTTCTATTTACATAAATATATTCACAGAAAATACAGACTTTAGATAGACTTGCCCTGTATATTTGCCATATAAGGCAGAGTAAGGAAAATTTCCTTTCTCCATATCCTTAAAAAAGCATCAGCCAGGTGGTGGTGGTGCACACCTTTAATCCCAGTACTCCAGAGGCAGAGGCAGGAGGATTTCTGTGAGTTCAAGTCCAGCCTGGTCTACAGAGCGAGATCCAGGACAGGCAACCAAAACTACAGAGAAACCCTGTCACAAAAAACCAAAACAAACAAAAAGAGCTCATAGTAAGGAAATCGAGAAAGAAAAGGTGTGGGTTTGGGTGGTGGGGAGGATCTGGGAGGAGTTAGGGAAGAGGAAACCTAAATCAGAATATATTGTATGAAAAAAATATTTTTCATTAAAAAAAAATCACATTTTTTTTTTTAAAATAAAGGAAGAAACAAAGGCATCATAGGCTGGATGTGGTGGTGGTGCACACCATTAACACCAGCATTTGAGGCAGAGGCAGGCAGAGCTGTGGGAGTCTGAGGCCAGCCTGGCCAGACAGGGTTATACAATAAGACCCTATCAGAGAGAAAGGCCGGGGGGGGGGGGGGGGGGGGGGAGGAAGGGAGGCAGGGAGGGAAGGAAAGGAGGGAGGGCAGGAAGGAAAGAAGCATTGCAGAACCACCATACTTACTTTGCGATCGGGTACTCCCACATGTACCCCCAGCCTCCATGGAGCTGGACACAGTCATAAGCTACACTGTTCTGTAATTCAGATGCCCTAAACGATCAAAATAACAAGCAGAAAAAAGAGGTAAGAGTTCAGTTGGTAGAGTACTCACAAATCCTTAGGTTCAAACCTTTACCACACAGAACTGGGGTGGTGGTGCATGCCTGTAACCCAACACTCAGGAGATAGAGGCAGGAGGATCAAAAGTTCAAGGCGAGCCTTTGCTACGAAGTGGGTAGAAGGCCGCCCTTGATACATGAAACCTTACCTCTCAAAAAGCTTTCTCACTACTCAACAATTTATAAACTATCTTTTAATATCCAGCACCATTATGTCCATAAGCCTGGTGTGTTCAAGAACAAGGCCATAGCTGTGAAAAATTCTCTTCCCCAAAAATACACACAATTCTTTTTTATACTTTTTCCCATAAGCCAAAAAACTTGTCATAAATGTAAAATATCTCCCCCAGCCCCAAGTGTAAGTTCATGTTAATTTCACATTCCTTTTTAATCTCGTAATCCTATCATTATAAAATCATTACACAAAGTACCATTCTGCATATTTCCCTTGTCTAGTAATGACTGAACTCAACTTGAGTTAATAAATAACAATGGGAATGTTTTCTAGGCTGCTTTTGGGCTAGTGAGATGAAATGATTTTTTTTTCCTCTTCTTTAAAGAAACCAACCCCATTCCAACATCTGATTTAAACCACACTTGCACCTTAAAACACATAAAAATTTTACAGGGGTCTGCTCTCCGGCTCACCTTTAACACCACTGTTAATCATCCTCAATTCAAATGCAAGTTTTTCCAAACTCTACAGGACTTTGGCCAGACAGTCAATACTTCAGCATTTTTTCTTAGATCTGGAAAACACCTCACATTCTATCCAACCTAAACATTTCCCGGATAATACAAAGCTGTCCCTAGAGAATTAAATTTAGCTGGAGTTATTTAATGGAATTCGACACTGCAAGACTCCCAAATTTTATCCTTTTATTCTTTCTGTCTCCCTTTGCTGCCATTCTTGAGGTAATTTGAAATTAAACATAGGACTTGAATGTGAATTACTCACTGATCCTCCTTCAGGCTCTTAATATTTTACTTTTAATAGCAAGTTATGAGTTACATACCAACTTGAGCAATTTTTAGGACATTATAAACAAACCCAATGGGACTTTCCAGATTTTTTTTTTTTAATGCTATTTTTCACTTACAGACGCCTTCCTTGAACACCTTCAAGGTTGAGTTTAAAGGCTGGCAAAATCCCACAGCCGGCTGAACAGACACCACATTTTAATTACAGTAATGTGCATACCAATATTTTGCCATGGAAGCTGTGCCAGAATCCAGACGTTTTGCTTCATGTAACTGCAGGCAGCTGTCCACAAAAGCTCTGGTTACACATATGTGTGTTTTTAACTCTGCTAGTTTATGCTGCACCCGTCTGGAGACGAAAAGGGTTGAAAAGGAGCGTGTTAGAAGTACAGATTGCAACTCCGCACCTCAAATGATTACATAACAATGTAACATTTTAAACAAAACCAAAGGGGAACTGTGGGGGAGTTTCTTCCAATTAAAGCGCATATGTTAACTTAAAATGAAAAAAGAAAAAAACCCTGCACCTTAGCATTTAAAACACTGTAGCAAATGATTCGGAAAATAGGTAAGTGCCTGGCACGTGGTTTTTTAAAGGGAATGAATGGCTTAAAGAACATCATGATTTAATGTGTGAGCACCACCTTGTGGTAGGAGCTGTCACCTGCAGCTGCTAAAACACCCAGTTTCCTCTGGAGGTTCAACAGGATTTACGGTGTATTAATGAACTTAAGGATATGCATTTCCCTGCTGTCGCCTCTTTGGCTTAAAGTGAAATAGTAAAATAACACGCTAGAGGGGCAAGATGGATTTATCTAATCACATACGCATCATCCAATAGTTATTAGGTTAGTAATCACAGTACTAATAATGGGAACTGAACAGGCAGACACCAAACTCCAGGAACCTACAGCCTCTCCCATCCCTCTGAAGCGTCTCCTGTAGCCTCCAACTAGTTCTGAATGGTCCTATTTGCAAGTGTTAATAACTACATATCTACCCTCTCCTGCTGCCCATAGACAGCCAACAGTAAGCTTAGAGATCCTTCTATTTAGACCATTCTCAATCATTAAGTTCTATTTCACTGTGTCTTGGCTCTCACACCCTGAGCTTTGAGTTTACATCTGTTCTCGCTGGCACCAGCTCTTAAACCTCCTTCAGGACACTGGCTTGGACATGGGCAGAGCCTCCAAAAGCACACCCTATTCTAACTGAGGCCCGAGACCCATCTGTGGCCAGCTGCCACTCACTTCCTTGAGGAAGTTACAATTTGATCACGCGGCTGTGGGGTGTATGAGACATCCATTGTGGCCAACGGCAGGCACACCTGTGGAGGCTACGCTGCACACTTAGAAATGAACCTCATACTTCAGGGTCCTAAGGCAGGTTTGAGTTCTCAAAGGAGGTTGTGGGAACAGTCTCTCGGGGGATGTTGGATTTAATGCTGAATTTTCAGGGTGACGACCAGTGCAGTGCCGGGTACAATTTCGGTGTTTTTTCATTCCTGGAAAATCAAAGAATGGGCAGAGAACAATGGTGGGCCCAGGTGAGAGCTGGGTGTGTCAGATGGAGTGGGAGCTTTGAGGGGCAGGTACCTCCCGGGTGTATCAACTCTTGTGTTGATAAAACCAAGTGTCTTCTTGTGGATCTGCCCCCACCCTCTTCTAGAAAGTGTAACTGACATCTAATGATTCCAAAACCAAGCTGTAGCAAGGCCAACAGCACCCCACCTCCACCTGTGAGTTCGGGCCTCCGACGTGGAGCATGCTGGCACGTCCACACTTTTTCTATCTCCTTTTCTAACTCTATATGTGTCCTTTGGCCAAATCTCTACCTTAATCAGCATGGAGTTCCCCCTCCCACCTTACACCTTCAAGTTTACACAGAGAAAGATCTGAAAGCGTGGTCAACTGATTTTCTATAGACATCGAAAAACCCTGCATCCTGAAGTCTAGGTCTACCGCTGGCTTAAATCCCACGACACTATCTAACATTTCCCTTGAGAGAAAAAAAACTCGGATGGGGAGGAAAATCAGACCATTCTCAAGAACAGTTGCCCTTGTATGATGTGACAGATGCGGCTTCATGCACTATTTAGAATAAGAAAAGGTCAAGGTCTCTCTCGCGCTTGTAAGCTATTCTACGCAAATGCCGGGAGCTTCTAGAAGTGGAACTTAAAATTCTTACTGCAGCACACGCACTGGGTCCAGAGGTCTAAAAATAACGAACGCTGCCAAGAGCACATAATTTACTGTCTGGAGATAAAGAGATTAAATATTTACATATTCCTGGCATTGAACTGGGAGCCAGTGAACAGAACTGTCCTTTGTACTACACCAGAGACAGCACCCACGCTTTCTGAAACCACTCTCCATGAATGGCTGCTAACGAGGGTGCTTTTCATGAATGATCGACGTGCTCACAGGAGTATCTCTCTAACGGTTACTGATATTTGCTAACAGTAAAAAGGGCAGCTCAAATTTAGAGAGAAATCTAAGCCATGCACAGTGGCCTGAATCTGAAATTCCAGTACTGAAGAGGCAGAGGTAGGGGGTCAGGAGTTCAAGGCCAGCTTATACTCTATGAGCCCCTGTCTCTGTCTCTCTCTCTCTCACATACACACACACACACACACACACACACATACACACACACACACACACACACACACACACACACACACACACAGAGTGGTGGGGGGAAGGGAGAAAGAGAATAAACAAACTAAAAATGCAATTTAAAAAAATATTAAGCAATAAACGACATCTTGGAACTTTAGGATTTGAAGACACCTTGGAATGGTTAGCAAGGCAAGAAGTAAAACTGTGAGTCATTATTAGCAAGCATTATGAGTTAACTGCTAAAAAAAACACCAAACTCGGTGTGCTACCTAAACTTACTGTTAATTAATGCCATATTTAAGGTCTTAGGAAGTAGATAGTTTGTTTGAAGACATTGAAGAAAAAGACATTTTTTCCTATTCCTATTTCCCATAATAGTTTGTCTTTAAAATCAATAGTACGTAGCCACATAAAAAATGACACAGACCCTAGTTAGAAAAGAATACCATTCCATCTTTGCTTCACTGCCCACAGGTGAAGGAAACAGGGGAAGAAAAGAGGACCTCCATTTTAAACATGGTATGATTAAAATGTAAGTTCTAGCCAGGCATGGTGATACATATCCTTAATCCCAGCACTTGGGACGAAGACGCAGGTGATCTCTCAGAGTTCAGGGATGGCCAGTCTACAAAGCGAATTCCAGCTCAGCCAGGGCTACATAGAGACACCCTGTCTCAAAGACAACACAACAGCACAGAATGTAACTCTGTGGCTGGAGAGAGAGTTCTGCAGTTAAGTGCACTGATTGTTCTTCCAGAGACCCAAGTTCAGTTCCCAGCACCCACATGGTGGCTCACAAACATCTGTAACTCCAGTTCTGTGGGATCTGTTGCCCTCTGTTGACTTCCATGGGCACCAGGCACAGAAAACCACATGGCGCACAGACATACATGCAGACAAACACCTATACACATACACTAATAAAACTTTTAAGAGAATGTAAGTTCTAGACATAGAACATCTGTGTCATTTTAGTTTACTTAACCTCTCTGCCTTAGCTACTTTACTAATAAAGATAATAGTAATAACTATTATACATAGTTATGAACAAAAAGATAAAACTGCATTAAACAGTGTCTAAGAAATGGAAAGCAGTTAATAAATGATATATATTATTGTTATTTTTAACATCATAATTATACTGTTTTATCAGCTGTTTCAGGGTAAATCATGAGCTGTGGTATCACCCCTGGAGTGCACTTGTAACTCCTGCTTCATTATTATGGTAATACTCTAGTCTAAAAAGGAAATGAATTTTGTGTCATGTACCGGGGTGGGCCAAAAAGCCAATATGTACAAGATTCAAGAATTATAAAAAGAAAGGAAATATAACTATGTGAAAGTAGCATTTAGCCAAGTATAATGTGGTATGTACAGGTTATCTACTTCTGTTAATAGTTAGAACCAGAGTGCAGCCAGCTCTAGATTAAAAGATACAGGGATGCATTAGTCATCTGTCTTCTATGCATGCATTTCTAACTTGAACTATGAAAATATTATTCAAAGATACTTACTAAAGAAAATTGAAAGAAATCTCAACATACACTTCCTACGAAAACAATACTACTTTACATAAAAAATATGAAGCTGTAGGGAGCTGGTGAGATGCTCAGTGAGTAAAGAGCTTCCTACGCAAGCATGAGGATCTGAGTTTGGATTCCCAGTAACCTCCATAAAAGCCAGGTGTGGTAGTATGTATGTCCCTATAACCCTCACACAGCGGGATGTAAAGACAGGTGGACTGCCAGGGTTCCTTGGCTAGCCACTCTAGCCAAAATAGTGCCAGATTCAGTAACAGACCTTGTCTCAAAAAATGAGCTGGAAAGCAATAGAGAAAAATACTCAGCCAACCTCTGGCCTCCATACATGTATACACAGGTGTACCCACCTGCACACATTCATGCACATACTCATCACGCACAGCATACACCCACCCATCCTCCACCCATACACACCCACACACAAGTATCTAGATCAGTGGTTCTCCCCTTTCCTCATGTTGCAACCCTTGAACATAGTTCCTCATGTTGTAGTGACCCCTCAACCATAAAATTATTTCATTGCTATTTCATAGCTATACTTTTGCTACTCTTATAAATTGTAATGCAAATATCTGATATATGCTATATCTGGTATTTGATCCCTGTGAATGAGTCCTTTGACCCTTGGGGTTGCGACCCCCAGGTAGAGAACCACTGACTAAAGACTACTATTGTTACCTACTGAAATCTAGTCAATTACTTTCCTTCTGTAGGAAAGTAACAAACGACACATGCTTTGAAAACAGGCACACAACTACTTATCTTCTTGCTACGAAAATGAAGCACAGTCATGCATTGCTTAACAAGGTGAACCACTTTAAGTAACAGGCCATTAAACAATTGCACCATTGTCTGAGCCACAGCGTATCAAAATAAACCTGAATGGTACAGGTCACATGTTTGGCAAAGCATCTTGACAAGCAAGAGACATGTGAGCAAGAGACAAGTGGAGTCTGAGGATTCTGCTGGCATAACATATTATTTTAATGTAAACTTCCTTTAATGAAAGAAGGAATGTAGCCCAAGACAATGACAATGAGTGTAGCATAATACATAAGCAATAAATTTATTATTAAGTATTACATACTGCCTAATTGAAGGAATGCACTATGTGTCTACGTGACCGATAGACTGCTTACACCAGCATCTCCACCATCATGTACTGAGCTACCATGTTGTGAATGTTCCATCACCAGGTCATATTTACAGTCCATCGCTGATGACTACATTGTTATAAAGTACATGACTATATTTTAAATTTTGTGCATTTCTTTCTTGTACGTGTGTATATACGTAGGTATGTCTGTGGGCACAAACACGCCACAGTGCCCGAGTTGAGGTCACAATCGTCAGGAGTCAGTTCGGTCCTTCTACCCCCGTGGGTTCTGGGGCTCACAGTCAGGTCGTCAGGCTTGTTGGCAAGTACGTTTACCCGCTGAGCCATCTCGCCAGCCCCATGACTGCATCTTAAAGGAATCCTTTTCTTTTATGGAACAAGAGTACAGATGAGTTGCTGCTTCCTTTACGGTTAAATGTCTAGTCACATGCTTTGTGGATCATTCAGGAAATCTGGGTAGCGTATTTTAGAGATTTATTTATTTTATTATTCACTTATTTTGTGTGTGTGTGTGTGTGTGTGTGTGTGTGTGTGTGTGTGTGCACATGCCCATGGCAACAATATTCCAAGTATTTTATATATAATGCCCCATCAACTCCTTACAGCAATCACACAAGGCAGGTACTAATTTTATTTGCAAATAGAAGAAAACATATATCTCCACTTGTAAATAAACACAAGTCTTACAAACTTCAAACATTTTTAATAGTAAGACTTTACAGTTTTGTACGTCACATGAATTTTTAAAATCTGCAAACAGGAAAATCTTTCTTTCGGAACACAACTTACCCTGACCGTAGAGATTTCAGGAGCTATGTGAGGATGTCAGCTGCACTTGACTTGACCAGAATGCTACAAGGCTGTTTCTGTGGCGCTATGAAGCTGTTTCCATTTCTACCTTTCCCTTCACAAAGATGCCGCGCAGGGTCTGCCTTTTCTAAGTCACAGTCAAATCTTACAGTCTCCTTGGGACTCGGCCCTCTTCTTACCTTAGCATTCCCACTCAGGATTTCCTTAGGCATCTCGTGCCCGTTCATGCTCCTAACACCACCTTGCATCAATATTGCTCAATTAACCTTTGACCCTGACCCAACTGAGACGACTACCTCGATAAACAGAAGCACAGCTGTGAGGACACACTTACCTGTATGTGTGCAACTGTTTTCCCAAAAGCTTTCCTTTGCTTAACATAGTTCCTGGTTTCTTCAAACATGAACTCACAGGCAGAAATGGCCAAATCTGCAATTAACAGCCTTTCCTAGAGCCCCAAAATTAAGTCGTAAGCATTATTACATAAACGATTTTCATACCATTTCAGTAAGTCCTATAAATAATTTTTTAGAACAAACCACTAAAGATTAAAGTTCTAGCTTACATCTTAGCGCTAAGAAAAGGCTCCCACGGAGGTCTGTAGTCATAACACAGCTAAGAAAAATGCTAAAGGGTCTGATTTTTAACCATACTGTCTTAACCACACAGATGTAGTCAACTCCCACATTGGTTGTTTTCCCTCATTATCTACTACAGAACAACGCATCTGTGGTGCATTGTTCCACAACATCTTCAAGCACGCAGTTCAAATTCTACCAATTAGTGCACACAGAGCTTTAGTCACCGAATCCCACCACGCTGGGGATTTCTGTATTCTCCCTTACTACTGGAGCCACTGGCTTTTGTCAATTTCATGTTTACCTGGAGCCATTGCCACCACCAGGTGAACGCACCTATACTCACATGGAAGCGCCAACCATTAGGCAATTCCGATCCCAAAGCACAGGCTCAAAGACCGCAATGGGACAGAGTTTTCTGTCTAACCCTTTCTCCCCTCTGAGTCACAGTTATTTACAACCTGCCAAACGCTCTTGGTGATGTTTCTTTACAAAGAGCTACAGGTTCTTCACTTAGGAAGAAGCCGGAATCATTCCAAGGAAGAATGACAGAAATAAAGTTCCTATTTTCCTTATTTTTGTTACGTCTTGGTTGGATCCTGCTAAGATCTGTTACTTATCTGACCTGTAACAGTGATCCTTCTTTATATGCAATTTTATACCTAGATGCCTGTTGTGGCGCAAGCTTGGCAGGTGTGGATCTGTAAGGCTCTGTATTCTATTTCTGCTCAGTATCTAACAGGAAGTATCTAACCGGAAGATGGCAACATTAGGCATTTAATACCTGTGGGAGCTCTTGCATGAGGTAGTAGAAGCCTTTATTCTCTTCCCCAAGTAGGGCACTAGCTGGCAATCGGACATCTTCAAAAAATAGTTCTGCCGTGTCCTAAGAAACATAGATCAAGCAGAGAATGAGCACATTGGTTTCCCAGTAACCCAAAAATGTTCACAACTTCCACAGAAGAAGAAACAAAGAACGAACTGGAATGGACTTGGAGATCAAACGTCAAGTTGTGAGCCATAAGCCAGGGCACTTTATCTAATTCCATTGCATTCCACCATGTGTGGCTCTCTCACTGCGATACGCTGCCGCCCAGGCTTTGGCACTGTCCAGTTCTCCAGCGAACACACGTTAAAAAAAACATGTTTTCTGGTAATGTGTACCAAAATACTGTTATTACTTCCTAACCTTTCTCAATTCCACAGATGGTTCATTACAATTACAAACGCTAACTTTCCCGTTTCTAAAGCAGATATTCAGAACTCCCCGGTTGCCATTTCTGAAAACATACCCTGGCAATCAACAGAGGAAGAGGCCGTAGGTAACTCGGCCTCTCTGTTTTCTGACGGAGAGTAAACACAACGCACTGCCAGGATCTGATTCACACCGTGACTCACCTGAGCTTTCATCCCCATTTTGTGTAGCTTCCGGCCCTTGATAAATCCTTTCATTCCATTCTCCACCAAGAAAAGGCTAATACCGTGGGCAGGCGACCGAGCTTCGCGATTGGTGACGGCGACCACGATCACAAGGTCACTTAACCAGCCATTAGTGATGAACACCTGCGAAAATCCAAATGCACTGTGATGCCCTGTGATATTCTGGTCCATGTGCAAGCTAATACTGGTGTGTGTGTGTGTGTGTGTGTGTGTGTGTGTGTGTGTGTGTGTGTGTGTGCAAGGAGACTAACACAGGCAGAGGCTACCCCATCTCTGCACACACAGACAGCCCCGTTTACAATGGATGTTAGTAAACAGCAGGGGGTCACCAGGGCAACACTGAAGTATACACACTTCTTCGCTACTTGTGTGATGAATAATAATAGGAAACTACTAGATTATGTCTCTAAAATAAGACCAAGCTTCCCATTGACTTGGTAAACTCAATTTTAGAAGGGAGCTATAGAGAGGAACAAAGAATTGGCTTTTGAAAAGGTAATTTAAATATATTCTTAAACTGACAGGTTTTTGAAAAGACAGTTTTGGGTATTTGTTTGTTTGTTGTTTTTATAAAGATTGACTACTTTCAAAATGGCCTAAATAAAGAAAGCATTATAGTTAAGCTGTGTGGGAGTGAGGAGGAGGATGACAACGACAAGCTAAACCGGAAATGCGAGCTGATGATGCACGGCCACTAATAACCGACACCTCCTTCTGGACCTTGCCTAGGCCATCTCAACATTCACGGCTTAGTCACCCCTAAGTCACCCACTGAACCTGCAAAACTGTCTCCCCTTCATTTTGATGAGACAGGCTCCCACCAAGCAGCTGGCCCGAACTTGTTATGCAGCCCAGGCTGGCTTAGAGTTTAAAATCTTTCTGCTTCAGCCTCCAGAGTGCCGGGAACAAAGAGAAGAGAGATGGGCACCTCCATGCCCAGCTAAGCCGCATTTCTTGATACGATCTAGACCTGTACGCCTACTACCTGGATTCCACAGAATGACTCAGGACCACAGCACATCCCACATCCTTCCCACCCCACACTCCTCCCCAGTAATGAATATTAACCTACCCTCTACTGCGACACATGCTTTGATAAACTACACTGTCGTCAGCTCCACATTCAACTCGGCGCGATTCGTGCTGGCCCACTTTACTGTTTGAGCCTATTTACTTCTTTTCTACGCCGTTACCTTGTTTCCCCAACCCTCCTCAGTTCGTGCACAAGGTTCTGTGACAGCTCTCGCTACAACTCTATCATCCATCAGGATCTCGGAGGCACCACTGCTCGGAGGCAATCTGATCGCGCCATGTCTACACTCCAACATCCTCGAACAGCTAGGCTTCAAGACAAATTCCCAACCCTTAGAGCAGGTATACAAAACTCCTCACAAACAGATGGTAGTTTAGGCCTCCTTCCTCCTCTCTCGTCGTGTTTTGCCTCCATTTTCTGTCCTTGGCTCAGCTCCATAGAAGCGCTGGTCGTCTCACACATGTTTTAAAGCCTTCCAGACCCAGGTGTCTTTGAGAACTGCATTTCCTCCCCTAGGGAGGCCCTTTCTAATTCTGACAAAGTGAATCCTCCTCATCCAGGTTAGACTAAGGTATGCAGCACATCATCTAAAATTCTTCTGAGTCCTCCACAGTGGGCTAAGTACTCCTAACGCGCCATCAACTTATCAGCATGCCAGGCTTAGATGAGATGTTTTGTTTGTTTTGCTTTGTTTGTAACAGCATCAAAACCTGGGTCTCGCACATAGCAGGCACACTCTCCCCTCACTGAGCCATATCCACAACACCTCGGACTTTGCTTCTTAAAGTATATTTGCATAATGTCAGTGATTCACGACAGTCTATTTAAAAAAAAATTCTAGGGGACAAGATACACTGTCTTCAAATTTTAGAGACTCACGATGCACACTGGCCTGCCTCTCAAAGAATGAGAATTTCTGTACATTTTCCCAAATGTATCTGATATCGCTGCTGCTACTTTCCTGTACAGGAAGTGCTGATGTCAGAGAACAAACCGTTCCTAGGCATTGACAACCTAAGTTAGGGCATCGGATTTCAAGGAGCCTGGCAGTACCACGATATTATTTGATTTTTGTAAAGATAACAGCATTAACTTAAAGCAAATTGAAAACGTTTTCAATGAATAAAGTAAGCACAACACAGTTGCATACGCTTGGAATGCCAGCACTTGGGCAGGTAACACAGGAGGATCGTGAGTTCAAAGCCATCCTGGGCTTTATAGCAAGACCCTGTCTCACACAAACAGACACACAGCCCAAACAACAACGTCTGCCAGCCCCCCCTCACCACCACCAGAGCGATAATATTTAGCATTTGAGAAACCCTGGGCTCAAACCTTTGCACCAAAAAAAGAGCAGCCAAACAAGACAATTCATCCACAAGCAGGCCTTGTATTAAAGACAGACATCTTTCCTGAACATTTAGTCAACTGGAACATTTCTCCTCAGGGATATATTTGCTCTTGAGTCATTGGAACCTGTTTGAGGAGCTCTCCAACTCTATCAGTAAATTGATTCTCAAAAGAACTGGAGGGTTCTTGAAATTCTACCATCTCCACTTTTATCTCTTAAGATCTCTTTAAACTTTCTGATATTTGTTTGAAACCTTTTCTCTCAATCTTTCTTTTTTCCATTTTATTTTATGTGTTTAGGTGTTTTTTTCTGCGTGCCTGTGCACATGCATGCAGTACCCACAGAAGCCAGAAGAGGGCATCAGATTCCCTGGAGGTGGACATAACAGCCAATTATAAGCCACCACGTGGGTGCTGGTAATGGAACCTACGTCCTCCAGAAGAGGGGTCAGTACTCTTAACTGTTGAACTCTCTCTCAAGCTCCCTCTGAATCCTTTTTTACAAAATTTATTTACTTATCTGTTCATATACATACATGTGAAGTTCCTCCCCTATCACTCTCCACCTTGTTCTTTGAAGCAGGGTCTCTCCTTAAACCTGGGGCTTGCATTTTCCCCCTATGCCAGTAGCCAGCAAGCCCCGGTGATCCTCTTGTCTCTGTCCCCTTCAGGGCTGGGGTTAAAGGTGTGCATGGAACCAAACCCGCGTTCACCCAATCTTTCATCAGCATAGAGTTCACCATTGTTTGTACCACTTTGGGGCAACAAACAACTTTATTTTCATTGCCATGGTCATCGTCATCTTTTTTTTGGGGGGGGGGTATTTGTTAAGAGTTATTAGGAAGCTAAAAGCACCTTTGCAGTGTTTGTGGAGGCTCAAGCAGCATGGAACACAGAAGAGGCTAGCTATAGACTCTGCCACATAAAAACTGTAGATTTCTTACTCCCCTGAAAACGCTAAAGCAATTCCTGTGTACGTCCTTAGATTGACCACAGCATCCACTGTGTGCAGTTCTTAGACACTGGGACCCACGGCCTGCTTGCGAAGAGAAGCCCCTTCCACACACCTTGCTTCCATTGAGAATCCAATCACTCCCAGACTTCTTGGCATTTGTTCTTACGCCCTGTAAGTCACTGTAAAGGAAAACAAAGGTCAGTCGGTTGGCAATAACCAAATTATGCCAAAGCTAGTAAGTACGTAAAGTCTCGTTTATGTATTAAAAGTCCTAATATTTGAAATGGTCACAGAATTGCACTAAAAACACATCTGATGTATTTTAAAGATCTTACATAAACGAATATATGAAGATTAAATGAACTAATCAGACTTTGCATGAGTCACAGAAGCCCAACTATGTTTAAGAACTCCAAACTAGACTACGGTGACATTAGGCTTTCTATCTCCCTAAATTATGAATCAACATGTATTTACCTGCCTTTATTTGGTTCTTATTACTATCTTTTCATTAAAAAATGTAGGCATTTAAAAGACAGGGACTGGAGAGATGGCTCAGTAGTTAAGAGCACTTGCTGCTCTTCCAGAGTTCCTGGGTGTAGCTCCCCAGAACCTATATGAGAGCTCACAGCCATCCATAAGTCCAGTTCCAATACCCTCTTCTTACCTCCACCGGCACCTGTCATACAGTCATATACATAAAATAAATCTAAAAAAGTTACACATTTTTCAACTGCCTTCCTCCTAACAAACCAACTCTAAAAGGAGTGCATCTTTCTAGATGTTTCTAACTAAAATATGAAAAGGGGTTGGAGAGATGGCTCAGTGGTGAAGAACACTTACTGTCCTTCCAAAGGACCCAAATTTGGTTCCCAGCATCAACATCAGGTGGCTCAAAACGATCTGTAACTCCAGCTTCCAGGGGACCCAATAACTTCTGACCTCTGTGGGAACCTACATTCACACGTACACACCCACCCACACATATATACACATAATTTTAAAATAATAAAAATATTTAAAAAAACAGTATTCCAAGAAGAAAATTATCCATTTACTTTTGGTCTTTGGAGACAAGATTTGATATGTAGCTCAGGCTGTCCTAGAACTCACTATTAGCCCAGCCTGACCTCAAACAAAGAATCCTCCTGCCTCAGTCTCACTAGTGCTGGGATTTCAAGTGTGTACCATGAGGCCTGGTCTTCAAAAATAATTTATCTCCTGAATGAACATTCTTAAAATATACCCTTCTAGTATTTTTCAATGGATATAAACATACATATGTAATATATGTATTTTTTAAATAAAATTAGAACCATACATGATTTTGATCTTCATTTCTAGTATTTTTCTGTGAGATAATTTTTGTTTGTTTATTTAGTTTTTTGAGACAGGGCCCCTCTATTATGTAGCTCTGGCTGCCCTGGAACTTGCTTATCAACCAGGCTGGCCTTGAACTCACAGAGATTCACCTGCTTCTGGTTTAAAGGCATACACCACACCCAGTATGGTAAGAGAATTTTCATTTACATGCTTTTTTTTTTAAACTACATGCTTTATTTAGTGTCGTGTATGTCTGTGTGTGTGTGCACGCACACTACTACAGCACGCGTGTGGAAGTCAGAGGCCAACTTTTAGGAGTCAGTTCTCTTCCACCATGTGGGTCCTGGGAGGAGACCAAACTTAGGTTATTAGGCTTGGTGGCAGGCATCCCTACCCAGTGAGCCTCTCACCAGCCCAAGCATTAGTTTTTCATTTTCATTAATACTCTACAGTGAATAATAGCACAGTGTATAATGAATCCACATTACATTATTTTATGTGATCCTTGTATTTTTATACTCCAAGGTCCTTTAAAAAAATTACTTTCTACGTTAGGCTAAATAGTACTACTCACCCTCCCAAAGATACCAGGTCCTAAGCTGTGATACCTACAGTTACATCATCTGGAAAAGGGATCTGGCAAGTGTGGCTAACTTAAGGATTTTTGAGGCAGAAAGATTATCATGGATTATCTGGATAAGCTTTAAATATCACAGATATCCTTAGCAGAGGGGCAGAATGGGAGGAGAGGGCAACCCTAGGAAATAAGCCAGTGAACCCTACGAGTCACCAGAAGAGAGGGGCAAGGAGTGAGTTCTTCCCTTTATCCTCTAGGGGGCGTATGGCCCAGCTAATATTCTGATTTGGGTCCAAAGATACGAAATGTCGATTTCTAGCCCCCAGAAATGTGAAAGAAACTCATTTAAAGGCTAAATAATGTTGAATTCTAACGATGTAATTTTCACCATTAGGGTCAGTTCCTAAAATCTGTACATGGGTTGTTAAAATAGTTGTTCCAGAGACTGGAGAGATGACTCAGAGGTTAAGATCACTTGCTCCTCTTGCAGAGGACCTGGGTTCAGTTCCCAGCACCCACAGCAGGCAGTTCACAACAAGTCCAGCTCTAGGGAATCCCATGCCTTCTTCTGGCTTCCATGGGAATCCACACACATACAGCATATATACACAGACACAAACATGTAAAACAAACAGCAAAACCTGGTTGTTCCATGCAGGGACATAAACAGGTTTAAAAAAGGTCATGAAATAGGTTGGTGGCTTGACCTTTACACTTGTCATGTATGAAACGCTGAAAAATGGCTTAAATATATACAACCTAGTAATGACAAGAACTCAGACCCTCATAATATTCTTCCTTGAGTTTCCCTGATTCTAACATTGAGACTTACGAGATTTCCAGAACACGACAGATCGGGTGTCATAATATCCCAAATACAATGGAACCATCAATTTGCTGTATGTACTTCTTTTTAAAAGACCTCCTTTCTCATTTTCTTCTGTCTCCTAACACGGGGACCACAGTAATTCTCTATCTTATATGAATTAGTATCACCGAATGAGAATTAATGTGAGGAATCAGTGTGAGAACACTTACAAAAACCTACACCATCCTGCAAATGTACATAAGTGAATACAACAAAGTCGTCTGTGAACACAGACGGGGAAGGGCTGGCAAAACGGAATGGTTTCCAGCAACTGCAAACATTTAAAAAAATTATGATCATCTTTATTACCGTGTGTGTATGTAAGTGTGTATGCCGGGGCATGCGCACCTTGGGGAGCGCCTTTCCTCCTTCCATCTTTATGCACATGCCACTCAGATTGACAGGCTTGCAACAAGAGCAAGCGCCTTTACCTGCTGAGTCACCTCACTGGTCCAGCAATGGCAACCCTCCTGTGGAGGCCAAATCTTAGAACACCATGTTCAACCCATCCCTGACGTAAGGCAAAACCAACTGTGTCCCATCTTTTCTATTCTCATACAAGTGTCCTTGTTTCTCAACATGTTGACATTCCTCTTAACTCAAAATGTTTCTGCGTTTGCGCTCTCTTCTTTTTAAAATGCACAGGCTGGCCTTGGCAGCCTGTGTCTAAGAGTTTCAAATAAGCGTGCTTAACAGCCCGCTCAACGCATTCCACTTTAAAAAAAAAATCATGCTAAAGACTCACCTCGTATGCTACTACTGTGTTTTCATTACACCACATTGATATCTTCAACACAGCAGATATTGCAACTGCTTTGCCATTATTTATATACAAAAATGCCTTGTTTTCTGACTGTAGTTTCACGTTGTGGATTATGTTGTGTTCACTTTGGTCTTGTATACAGCTCAGAATCACTTTTTTTAAACTGCAACTGTCACCTAGTACCATAGGGACATGGGGAATTGGTCCCAAGACCCCTATTCCCAGATACCAAAACCTACAGATAGCTGCAAAGAACCTATTATACGTATGTGCACATACTTTAAATTTTAATTTCCAGATTATCTATAGAATCCAGGCCAATGTAAGTGCAATGTAAATTACTTGCTATGTTTTCTAGTGAATAATGACAAGAAAAAATGCTTACATGTTCGGTACAGATGAAAATATTTTTTCCAACTATTTTCTATCTGAGATTATATAAATCCATGAATGCAGAACCCATATTTATGGAGAGCTGTGGAGTATACCTAGCAAATGTTTTCTGTTCCGATACAGCTTCTGAGGATTCGAACCCAGCGCCATGTTGACTCACCTTCCGGCACCAGGCTCTGTCATCGCTATGGCACCGATGCACTTGCCCGCCGTCATCTGGGGGATGAAGTGCTCAATCTGCTCTTTTGTGCCATAATTTGCAATATAGGGCATGACAATATCTGAATGAAGGCTGAAACCAGGGCCTGTGCAATTTGAGTATGCTCTTAAAACAAAAAGAGAGGAAAACGGAACCATGAAATAGCTAGTTGGCTGCTTTAAGGCTCTCTAATTTTCAATTTTACTGAATAACGTAAAGTATGAAAGGTCTCACTGGGCTGGGTGGTAACAGCCTGCCTTCCCATAAGCCTACGACCTTCCCAAATGCCACCTCTGTTTTTACTAACCTTTTAATTGTGGCTCTAACATAGTAGTAGTGCTCTAGGAGCCCCTCTATAGGCATTCACTTGATGAACTAAGAGATAAAATACTGACGGCCTGCAATTATATTACCCTGACACTGCAACTGTCTAATTCTGGAGAACAGCTTGGGGATATAGCCTAATGCAACTGCAGTCAATTTATAAACGTTCTACTTTACCGTTTTCCTAGTAAAATTTTTGATTAAGTCCCACTGCTTACAATTGTTTAAAATTACGTTCTTAAATACACGTAAAATATTCTAAATTACTTATGTCACCATAATTTACGGATTGTCCCAGTGTAGTACATTTAGATTGCATCACAGTTTAGGGGGTTGTGGTCAGACCTAACACGGACTTGAGAGCACAGCTTCCTCTTCTCCTAATATGTTCTTACAGGAAATCCCCCCAACAGCAGCCTGGTGGGAGCATGCTCATTCAGCCTTCCTATACTTACATTTAAGTCCCAGACATGTTCATTTTTCTAATTCTTTTTTTTTTTTTTTTTTTTTTTTTTTTGGTTTTTCGAGACAGGGTTTCTCTGTGTAGCTTTGCGCCTTTCCTGGATCTCGCACTGTAGACCAGGCTGGCCTCGAACTCACAGAGATCCGCCTGCCTCTGCCTCCCGAGTGCTGGGATTAAAGGCGTGCGCCACCACCGCCCGGCCATTTTTCTAATTCTTAATGCAACTAATGGTGAATGAATGTGTTACCTTCACAACTACCTTGTTATTATCGGGTATCAGGATTTGACCATTTTCACAAATTTTGCAGGTAGGTAAAATGATAATTCCAGGCTAACATAACTTACGATCATCTGGCAGTGAGGAAGACCTGCTTTCATTAAATAAAATCTAAGTGCACTTCCCTTATGACAAACTGTTGCTTCAAAATCTTCTGCCATTTTAGCTGAAACCTTTATGTATTTTTATAATGTAACTTTTGGCATATTTCAATGAAATATTTTTCCAACCTGCTATAAAAGGGGGGAGATGAAGAATTAAAATATCTTTTTTAACTCTTTTTTTGTTTGTTTGTTTGTTTTTGTTTTTTGAGACAGAGTTTCTCTGTGTAGTCTTAGCTGTGCTGGATCTAGCTAGCTCTGTTTACCAGGCTGGCCTCGAACTCACAGAGATCCGCCTGCCTCTGCCTCCCGAGTGCTGGGATTAAAGGCGTGTGCCACTGTGCCTGGCTATTTTTGTTTTTTTAAGACAGCTTCTTGCTACGGAGCTCCAGCTGGACTCTCAACAACCCTCCTGCTTCTGTCTCCTGCATGCTAGGATTACAGGTAGGTAAGACACCTGGCCAGTCAACAGCATCTAGTTCAACAACGTAAAAGAACTTAAAAGGAATGGAATATCTCTCCACACCCAAGACCGAGTACGCACATGGATCATCTCCCACATTTTACTCTGAATTTTCAGTCTTCCAAGAACTCTAGAAAGTCTTTCCATGATCCCTTCAGGAAGGACAACTTACAAAAACACAAGACTGTACACTTTAAATGTCTCCGTACTTACTGCTCTTCCCAAGTAACTGCTGTGGAAAAGAAGTCTCCACCGATACCGCCGTGTTTCTCGGCGATGTTGACGCCGAGCAGGCCCTGCTTGCCAGCTTTCTCCCAGAGCTCTCTACTCACTTCTCCAGCCTTCTCCCATCTGCGAAACCAAACTTAAAGTCAGACAGACGTCCTGAAGATGATGTGAACGACCTCACTAGGAGCTTGAGGTTTGGGCAGGAACACGTCCTTAATTTGAAGTAACAGGTGACACGGGCCACAGGCCTTTCCATGTGTAGCTGGGTCTTGGGTCATTTCTCTTTTTTCCCTTCCTTATCATTGCCATCCTCTGCCCCCTCTTGATCTACCAACTAGACCTGTAATTCCTAATTTATAATTTCTCAAATTTTCTCAAAAAGCTCTAGGGGACAAGCTTAGTTTTAGCACATAGCCAGGAGATCGCCCTAACAGGACTTGTAGAGATTTTCCACGTATTTCCTTAAAATGCTGAATTTAAACTGGTCATGGTGGTGCACGTCTTTGATCCCAGCACTGTGAATGAGGCCAGCCTGGTCTACATGGGAAGTTCTAGGCCAGCCAGGGCTACACAGACCTCTCTCAAAAGAAAAAAAAAAAAAGCCGGGCGGTGGTGGCACACGCCTTTAATCCCAGCACTCGGGAGGCAGAGCCAGGCGGATCTCTGTGAGTTCGAGGCTAGCCTGGTCTCCAAAGCGAGTTCCAGGAAAGGCGCAAAGCTACAGAGAAACCCTGTCTCGAAAAACCAAAAAAAAAAAAAAAAAAAAAAAAAAAATTCACAGAAGCGGTTTTTAAATAATACTTGAAACTCATTTGCAATGTAGTAAAATCAGTGACTTTTGAAACACAGCAAAATTCTATTTTAATACAAGTGAATTTCTTGTTCAATAATAAAATGATTAATCAAGAGATACCGGTCAGGGGCAGGGGCTGAGACAGCTCAGTGGTTAAGAGTGCAGAACCTGGGTTCAATTCCTAGCACCTACACAGTGGTTCATAACTCTCCTTAACGGAAGTTCCAGAATGCACAGGACACACAGAAATACATTCCAGCAAAACACTCACACACATAAATAAACCTCTAAGACTTTTAAAACACAGTATCCGTGTAAAAATATTTAGAGGTAGCCAATGACCTACCAAGTTGCACTATGCTGATTTTTTTTTTTTAAACATTTGCGTACTTTGGTTCATAACAGAAAAAGAAAGACTATAAAACAGACTAAGGATTCAACAATTAACCATAGGTTTGGGGTTTTTTTATTTTTATTTTATTTTATTTTACTGTTATTCTTAGGTTCCCTTGTAAACCCACAAACTTTTTCGCTCTTGAATGCCACGCTTTATTTAAAAGGCCAAGTGTGGTGGCACAAGCTTGGAGCCCCAGATACTCGGGCACCTGAGGAGACAATACTTGTGTCTGAGAATTTAAGACCTGGGGAACACAGTGATATATGAGGACTCAAAGACTAGAATTAATATTAACAGTAATAATCAAGTATTTACAAAACCTCGAAATCCTACCTCTGATCTTAACAGTGTTATGGTGAAGAACAGTGAACAGACAAAGGAGGCACTTTTTGTGTCACATGCCCAGCATTCCAGAAAAGGGTCCTTTCTGGGCTAACGCTAAAGTGGGGAGGGAGGGCACTTACTCTGTATGGTGAGGAACTACTTCTTCCTGAAAAAACTTCCTTACACTTTCCCGGAAAATGTCGTGCTCTGAGGAAAAGATTCTTCTGATTCCAATATCAGTTAATTTTTTAGCAGAAGAGGTTTCCAGACGTGCCTCTGCTCCAGAATGAGAACAGCTTAAGGAAACAAGCATTCAGAGAATTAAATGAACTGTTACTCCTTATACCCAAACGAATGCCAGTGAACAACATGGAACCCTGAGATAAGCTGCCCATAGGACCTCCTCGCCTCCCAGCTCCTGTCTCAGAACCCTCCCCCGGCCGGCCCTCCTGCCACAGTCGAAAAGAAAATAGCACTTTGTCACAATTCGACTGTCTCCATTCTGAAATCTGCAAGGTGGACCACGCCTAGCTCGAACCACAGATGTGAGCTGAGGTGAGTATACTGTTTCCAAACAGCATATGGACTACACTGCATAAAGGCCAAACAGTACAATACAATAACTGTGGTAAATTTTCACGTCACAAACAACTTTTAAAACAATGCCAATCCTCCCAAAGTAGCAATGTATCCAGAATCACAATTCCAAACCACAGGAGCATAAGATGTGAACTGTTAATGTCACTGTCACACGGCAGTATCGATCAAAATGTCCACTGGGGTCCATTGGAATGTCAATCAAAAAATGCTCAACAAGACTCTGTGTGGATCTGTACGGAATTCTTTTTTTTGTTTGTTTTTTGTTTTTTGTTTTTTGAGATAGGGTTTCTCTGCGTAGCTTTGCGCCTTTCCTGGATCTCGCTCTGTAGACCAGGCTGGCCTCGAACTCAGAGATCCACCTGCCTCTGCCTCCCAAGTGCTGGGATTAAAGGTGTGAACCACCACCGCCCAGCCTGTATGGAATTCTTTAGGATCTTCATCAGACACTTGCCTCTCCCCTTCATCCCTCTCCTTCTGCACACCCCTCAGGGAAGATAAAAGGACTTTTTATCAGTTCCCTCAGTTCAGTTGTATTCCGGGTTTTATTTGTTTCTAGTTCCCCTTAGGAGGACAGCCCTTTGCACATCTTCAAACTCACACCTGAATAAAACTTTTTTTAAACAAAAATTATTTTATTTGCAAACAAAAACATGGGTTTTAAGAACAGGGTTAGTCCATTCACCCTAGTGGTGACTTTGACCTTTATTCACCATGCTGTGAACGATGATTCCCATGCCTGCCACTGTGTTTTGGTCCATGCATTCAGCATGACATGGGAGCTGGTTCCAGTAGGTATTCTGGATTCTTCTTGGACTCTCAGGGAGAGGCACACATCCCATTCCCTTGTTCCAAGCAGTTGCCAGAGGATACAAAGCCCACCACGAGGTAGCCAATGAACTCCAGAGAGCCAATGAGGGGCTTAAAGATCTTCCAGTCTGAGTTAGAAATTAGTAACTCTGTTTAGTAAAGGTCAAACCATTTTTCACACAGAAGGTTGGCCACCATGCTAATGAGGGTCTAAGGCTGGATCCTCTTTCACAGCACGCAGGTGATGGGCAACATGGTGGCAGGCCTGGCCAGTCACCAATGGAAGGGATGTTCTGGAAGTCGGTGGCTATCCCATGAGGCTGAATACCAACGCCTCTGCACACTGTAATAGACACAAAGTTCTTCCCTTTTAAGGCCATGTTGAGACCCCTGGGGCAGATAGGCATCAGTGCTCATGAGCTGCCCTCAATCCCACTACTACTGCAATTCTTGTAAATAGCTTTTGGTTTTCACTGTACCAATGCAAGGTCTCTAAAAAAGTTAAGACATATTAAAATGTGAAGAAAACTTTTTTCTGCTGTGTGTTAAGTTCTAACTTAGGGTTCTTTCTTTCTTGGGTGGGCCCTGCTTTTTCTTTAGTCTTTTTCTGGAAAAGATCCATTTCTTAATTACACAGCTAGAGTTAAAGATTTAAATTTCTTACGCGCTTTTGATAAAAAAAAATTAATACTTGTTTCTAAAACAAGTTAATACCCAAACCAGATAAAGATCCAACAGAAAAGTTAAAGACCAAGCCCTTGAAGAACACAGACCCCATCATGGTAAAAGCCAGAGAAGCTAGGGATAGAAGAGCATATCTCAGGATGACGAAGGCTATATATGACAACCTACTGCTGTGGATATCACTCTGTACAAATAAAACACTGACTGGCCAATAGCCAGACAGGAAGTATAGGTGGGATTAGGAGAGAGAAGAGAGGAAAAAGAGAGGAAGGCAGAGAGGAGGGGACACCAGCTGCCATTCAGGGAGCATCATGTAGAGGCAACAGGGAAAGCCATGGAACACGTGGCAACATATAGATTAACAGAAATGGACTTAGTATAAGAGTAAGAGCTAGACAATGGTAGGCCTGAGCTAATGGCCGAGCAGTTTAAATAATATAAGAGTCGGTGTGTTTATTTTATAAGTGGGCTCCGGGACTGGCGGGGCTTGGCAGCAGCTGGAGAGAAATTCTCCAGCTACAACCTACAGCCAGCATCATGCTAAATATAGAAAAACTCAATCATTCCCGTTAAGATAGGATCAAGACAGAGCAATTCTCTCTACTCCTACTCCTGTTTAATTCAGTGTTTGAAAACTTAACAAGAGCAATAAGACAAAAAAACAAAATAAGTAGGATGTAAATAGGAAAAGAAGTCCAAGTATCTCTACTTGCAGATGATGTGAATCTAACCTATGAGACTCTAAAGACTCCGCCAAAAAAAAACCAAAAAAAACAACAAAAAAACTTCTCAGAGATAATAAACACTTTCATCAAAGTAGTAAGATAGAAAATTAACACACAAAATCAGTGGTTTCCTAGATGCCAATAACAAATATACTGAAAAAGAAATCAGGAAAACAATCCCATTCATAGTACACACACACACATACACACACACACACACACACACACACACACACACACACACACTTACTTAGGAATATACTTAACCAAGGAAATAAAAGACTTCTACAATGTTAACTTTAAGACACTGAAAAATGAAACCAAAGAAGATACCAGAAGATGGAAAGACCACCTATGTTCATGGCTCAGGAGAATTAATCTTATGAAAATGGCTATCTTATCAAAAAGCAATCTACAAATTCAGTGCAACCCCAACAAAAATTCCTGGGCTATTCTTCAAAGAGATAGGAAAAAATGTTAAAACCTATATGGAGGGAAAAAAAATTACAAACACCAAGGTTGGCCAAAGCAGTCCTGAAGAAAAGAATACTGCTGGAGGTATCACCACACCTGATCAGATGACAGAGCCACAGTAACAGAAACAGCATAGTAATGGCAACAGAACACAGAGAGAGAACAAGGGAGCATGGGATGCAAACGGAAATGCAGGCAACTCCAGCTACCTGATCTCTGGTGAAGACGCCAAAAGTCTACATTGGGGAAAAGACAGCATCTTCAGCAGGTGGTGCCGGGGAACCCATACAGAGGCTAAAACTAGATTCTTATCTCTGACCCTGCACAAAGCTAAACTCCAAATGGATCAAGCACCTCGATGTAAGATCTGATATCCTGAGGCTCCCAGAGGAAAAAGCAGGAGGTACACTTCGACACACAAGTATGGCTAAGCCTTTTCTTTTTTTTTTTTTTTTTAAATATTTATTTTTATTTTGTGTGCGTTGGTGTTTTGCCATGGGTGTTGGGTCCTCTGGAACTGGAGTTAAAGACAGGTGTGAGCTGCTAGGAATTGAACCCGGGTCCTTTGGAAGAACAGTCAGTGTTCTTAACCATTGAGCCATCTCTCCAGCCCCGGCTAAGCCTTTTCTAAATAGAACTTGGGTAGCACGGAGCATAGGGAATAAGATCAGCTACCAACAAATGTGACCCCATGAGACAGAAAATGCTTCTGTTCAGCAAAGAAGACTGCCAATCATGTGAAGAGGCAGCCCACAGAACGGAGAAAATCTTTGCCAACTCTCTATCTGACAGAGGCTTCGTGTCGAGAATGTACAAGAAGCAGCCAAGCAACCCAATTACAAAATGGGCTTATGAAACGGAATAGAAAGATCTCAAAAGAAGAAACACCTAAAAAGGAAACGCCTAAAAAAGTGTTCAGCGGCCTTAGCCATCAGGGAAAAACAGATCAAAGGTACTTTAAAATTCTACCTCACCTCAAGTCATCACAGCCATCAAGAATAATACGAAATGACGAGCCAGGAGTGGTGATACAGCCTTTAATCCCAGCACTCAGGAGGTAGAGGCAGGCAGTGGATCTCTGTGAGTTCAAGGACAGTCTGGTCTATAGAGCAAGTTCCAGGACAGCCAGGGCTTTACACAGAGAAACCCTGTCTCAAAAAACAAAAAACAAAAACAAAACAAACAAACAAAAAAGACTACAAAATGACAACTAACCCTGGCTGGGATTTTGGGAGTGTAGACTAGTAGTGAACTAATGGAGCCACTTTGGAAAACAGTGTAGAGGTTTCCTGAAACAAAAATAGTAAGAGAGAGACAAAGAGAAAACTAGAAATGGAACTGCCATATGACCCAGCCATACCACTCCTGGGCATGTACCTAAAGATGCTGTATCCTATCACAGATTTTTTTTCTGTGTTTTTTTTCTTTTAATTTATTTATTTTACATCCCAACTGCACCACAGTTTCCTCTTCCTCCTCTCTTCCCATCCCTTCCCCTCCCCACTCCTCTTGTTTCTGTTCAGAAGGAGGCAGGCCTCCCATGGGTGTCATATCAAGTTGAGGTAGGACTAAGCACCTCCCCTTGTATTAAGGATAGGCAAGGCAACCCAGTATGGGGAATAGGTTTCCAAGAGCCATCCAAAGTGTTAGGGACAACCCCTGCTCCCATTGCTAGGTGTCCCACAAGGAGACCAGGCTACGCAACTGTCACACATACGTAGAGGGCCTGGGTCGGTCCCATGCAGGCTCCCTGGTTGTTGGTTCAGACTCTTGAGTTCCTACGAGCCAGGTTAGTTGATTCTTGTGATCCCTCTCAGTCCTGTCGTCCTTCCTCCCTCTCTTCAGCAGGATTCCCTGAGCTTGGGCTAATGTTTGGCTGTGGGTCTCTGCATCTGTTTCTATTAGTTACTCGATGAAGCTAGCTCTCTGATGACAATTGGGGTAGTCACCAATCTGATCACAGGAAATTAGGCTACCGTATCCACTATTACTAGGAGTCTTAGCTGGGGTCATCCTTGTAGATTCGTGGGAGTTTCCCTTGCATCAGGTTTCTACTTGATCTTGAAATGCCCCACTTTATGAGTCATCTCTTTCAGTACTCTTTCCCTCCATCCACGTCCCCAACCCGATTCCTCATGTCCCATCTCCACCCGCCCCCAGTCCACCCAGGAGAGCTCTTCCATTTCCCCTTCTCAAGGCGATCCATATGTTCCCCCTTGGGCCCTCCTTGTTACCCAGCCTCTGAGTCTGTGGACTGTTGCCTGGTCATCCTTTACATCTACTAACCACTTATGAGTGAGTACATACCATGTTTGTCCTTCTGAGTCTAGGTTACATCACTCAGGATGATCTTTTCTAGTGCTATCCATTTGCCTACAGATTTCCTGATGTCATTAATTTTAACAGCTGAGTAGTACTCCATTGTGTAGATGTACTACATTTTCTTTATCCATTCTTCAGTTGAGGGCATCTAGATTGTTTCCAGGTTCTGGCTATTACAAATAAAGAGGCTATGAACATAGTTGAGCAAGTGTCCTTGTGGTATGACTGAGCATCCTTGGGTATATGCCAAAGAGTGGTATGGCTGGGTCTTGAGGTAGATTGATTCCCAACTTTCTGAGAAAATGCCATATTAATTTCCAAAGTATCACAGAGATTCTTACACACCCACGTCCATTATTGCTGTACTCACAACCACCAGAAAATGGAATGAGCCTACATGTCTATCAACCGATGAATGGATGCTGAAAATATGATGACTATATTAAGTTACTTTTCTGTTGCTGTGATAAAATGCCATATCCATAGAAGAGAGGGTTTTGGGGGCTTATACTTCTAGAGGGATGAGGGTCTTTCACCATCCTGGCAGGAAAGCATGGCAGTAAACAGGTGGTTGGGGCAGGAAGCTGAGATCTCACATCTTGATCCACAAGCACAAAGAAGAGAAAGAAGACTGGAAATGTCTACAGACACCACCACCACCACCACCACCACCACCCACCATCCACCCCCTGCCCCAGTGACTTACTTCCTACAGCAAGGCCACACCTCCTAAACCTCGCTAGAGGCACCAACCTCATGACCAAAGTTTCAAAAGGTCAGAGAGAAGAGGTCACAAGACCTGCAGGTGGCCTCACATATCTCGACCAAGCCATATCAACAAGATAAAAGTTTACTTTAGATTACTATTCGATAAACACTTTAAAGTACATGTTTTTCCTTACAGATTTTCCATACATTGGTTTTTCCCTTCATGTCAAAGCAAGGCTGGGATTGGGATACTATGCTTCTTAGATTCAGAGGAATCATTTACCAATGTATAGACAGAATTTGTGTGTAACTCTGCCTGGGTCATAAAATGTGACACGGAAATTTCTGAAACGTTTCTAAGCTCAGAGAAAGAAATGCACAGAGAATAAACACTTTCCAGTTCCGTTAAAGGCGCTGAAAGTAATGTGCAGAGGGCAGAAACCGACACATTCACTTGGCAGTTGAGTTTGTTGGGACATCTATTTTCAGTTTTGAGACACCTGTACTGAATAAACCAACAAGCTACTGGTTAGTTTCTTTTTAGTTTTCTCTGCCTTTTAAGTCAGGGTCTCACTAAGTAGCTCAAACCAGACTTCAAATTCGTCATGATCCCCTGGCCTCTGTGCTACCACTTTACAGCCTCATTCACATAAAAAAAAAAAAAAAAAAAAAAAAAAAAAGCAAGAAACTAAATGAAAGGAAGCACTAGCACACTCAGCCCCTGGGAGCTGGGCTTAAGTATTTGCTCTTGGCTCCGCCTCTCTTCATAAACGCTGAATCAGACAGCGTTTCAACAAGATCGTTGATCATTATGCTCATAAAAGTTTAAGAAACCCGTGAAGATAAAACTGTAGCTCCTGACTCATTATTTTCCAACAGTCTCTTTGAGGTAGTTCCGCCCACCCCCGCCCCCTCCCGTGAATCAAAATAAGATCATTTTGGGGTTCTCTAAACTTAAGAGCGCAAAGACCACCTGATCAAAAGGCAGACCATCACTTCCTCAGTGTATTCTGTAGAATAGAAAGCATTCTTAAAGTCCTAGGAACTTTTCTGTCTCCTCCCGCCCCCATGGGTAAGCATTACCACAACACTTTATGGTACTTCACAACAATGTGCTAATTAGCTCATTTAAATGCCCCGCCACCCTCATTAACAAAGCTTTGAGCTTCCAGTTTGCTTTATCCAATGAATGGATTTTAGGAGAGGTAAAACTTTTGATCTCAGCGTAAAGACCCTTAATAGTCTCTAAAGCCCTTGGGAGCTGCCCATTAATCCCTCCACATTTAATGAGTTCTAAGGATTTGCTAGTAAATGTACAGCTAATTTATCAGATGGGGCCCTCGCCTGGAAGCTGGAGTCGAAATCAGTATTGTTGCAACCCCGTCTTCCGGTCCGCGCGCCGCCGCACAAGGAGTCCCAAGTTCACTGTCGGGTTTGATAGTCCCCACCTGTGGTTCCAACTGGGCCAAAGGCTGCAGCTACTCGGTGGCAGCGCGCCCAAGGGGTGACCGCCCCCGCTTCGGGGCAACTTTGAAAGCAATTTCCCGTGACACCCGGTAGGATGTGGGGCGGGCCCCGGGCCCCGAGCGAGCATTCGGCCGAGTCATGTCTTCTGGGGCCCGGCGGCCCGTGTTGGGGAGCGGGTGGTGACACCCCGAGGTCTCCGCGCCGCGGAAGGCAGCCCCAGGTTCGGGAGAGACGATCCGGGCCGCCTCGCCCTGCCCCCGGCCGCGACATGCCGGGCTCGGCCGTGGCTCGCCACACCCCACCACTGCACGCCGCGACCCGGGCTGCCCGCACCCCAGGCTGGCCCCGCACTCACCGGGCGGCGGGCGGCGGGCGTGGCGCGGAACCCAGGCGCAGGGAGCGGAGGAGCAAGCGCGCAGCCATGGCGGGACACCGGGCGGGCGGGCGGGCGGGCGGAGGACTGGGCTCGGGCTCTGCAGCGGACGCGGGCGGGACGGAGGGACGGCGGGGCGGTGGGACGGCAGGACGGACGGCGGCGGGGCGGGCCTCGGGGACAGCCAACTGCCGGCCGCAGGGCGGGGCCGCCAGCTCGGGCGGGGTCTGCGCCTCGCCCGGCCGCCTGCCGTCCTGGCCCGTGCGCCTTCCCGGTCTGTCCGGCTGCAGGACTGAGCAGGGGTCCCCGAGAGGGTCCTGGCCACTCTGTGGAGCATCCAAACACCCCAAAGCTCCGCACGGCGATGTGCGTGACATTCTTTTCTAATGCTGGAAGGCTCACTTCACATAGACAACTATAGGAATACTCTGTGAAGGATTGTGCCTGTTTTTTTGTTTTGTTTTTTCTTGCAAAAGTTTGTAGCTACCCTATGGGAAAAAAAAATAGAAATATATTTGATATGGGAAAAAACTCAACAATTGATTCAATTATCCAATAGTACTTGAACTCATATAGGGTCGTTTCTTTTTCTTTTTTTCTTTTTTTTTTTTTTTTTGTTTTAACTTCAACGAAATCTGTGGCAATTAAGTGTATGAATTTGACCTTTTGTAATGGGGAATGCCTGAAAGGTTTTGAACTCTAAAGAACGTCCAGATTAGATTTCTTTTTTCTTTTTCTTTTTCTTTTTTGTTTTTTTTGAGACAGGGTTTCTCTGTGTAGCTTTGCGCCTCTCCTGGAACTCACTTGGTAGCCCAGGCTGGCCTCGAACTCACAGAGATCCGCCTGGCTCTTCCTCCAGAGTGCTGGGATTAAAGGTGTGCGCCACCACCACCCGGCCAGATTAGATTTCTAAGGACACAAATTTCTTAAGTCTTAAGGAGAACAGTCACCGAATCTGAAATAATGAAATAGTGAAAGGGATAGGTACTTTGTGTTAGAAGTCAACAACTGACAGCTTTCTGAAAGGAAGACATACAGAAATGTTTAAAAGGCAAGTTTTAGGACTTCACAGAACCAACAATTTGGGAAGACATGAAGTCTTGTTTGCTCTTTTAACTTTTAAAAATATTTTAAATTATATTTATTATTTACTGTGTGTATGTAGGTGTGGTGTATGCACATCTTGGTGTGTGTGTGTGTGTGTATGTGTGTGTGTGTGTGTGTGTGTGTGTGTGTGTGTGTGTGCCTGCACATGTGGAGTTGAGAGTCTATGTCAGGTGTCTTCATCAGTCGCCCTCCAGGTTATAGATTTGGCTAGCCTGCCTGGCCAGTGAGCTCCAGAGATCTACCTGTCTCTGATCCCTAGGGCTCGGTTTACAAGCACACTCAGGAGAGTCCCGCTAATGCATGGGTATAGGGGTGTGGGGGTGTTGGGGTGTAGGGTATAAGGGTATAGAGTGTAGGGGTGTACGAGATTCAAACTCAGTTCTTCTTTTTACCCATAGGAAGCCCCCCATTGGAACCCCCTCAGCCTCCTCAGATTTCTAGGCCCCAAACTGTGTGAACCACTAATTCCCTCCGAAGGTTGTGTGTCTAATGAAATGTCACAGATCTCCAACTCCCAGAATGCAAGCTGTTTTAATTCTCCATCCATGTATGCGTTGGCCCCTGCCTTTTTGAGGGATGGTCATAATGACCTTTTACAATCAAACATACATCATGCCTCTCTTGCCATTCAGTGAATTGATGCCAATAGTGTCAAGTATGGCTCGCTGAGGTAGGACTGTGGAGGACTTCCCTGGGATTATTGGGCCTTAATGATACTCTTTAAATCTAGCCCCACTGCTAGCCATTTTTCTAATCTGTTGGTTTCTAGCAGGGCCAGGGGTGCACATTCCAGTAACATTTCTTTTAGAGTCTAAGATGTGTTGCAAAGTCCTTAGGAAAAATCTTCTGATTTCACAGCAAATATTTATCCACCTATATAGAGATCCACTTTATTATAATACACATTTGATTAAACATATGTCCAGTGATCTTTTCTTTATTTTCCACACCATTCCAATGGCCTATGAGCCCCTTTCCATGTGATAATAAAAACCAGTTGGTTTGGACTCTTAGCACACTACCTTCAATGACAAGCTTTCTGAATTGCCGTTGGCTTCTAACGCTGTGACTGTGCAACTTTATTTTAGATAATCTCCTGTCTCTCTTTTATTTTTCAAAATTAAATGAGCTCAACATCAATATTTGCATCCAAATTACTTTGCTGGCTTACTGAGAAAAATGTCAGACATGAACGAAAGTTACCGAATAGTAAACTATCTTCTGTTTGCCCTTTCCTCAGATGTTCAAATACTAACATTTTGACTCACTTGCCACATATACAGGAGTTTTTCTGAGCCATTTGAAAACCAACTGTATATACTACACCTCCTTCTCCCTCCTGTTATTTCCTAAGAACAAAGGGATTACCTTAGTAACCATAGTAGAATTATTAAATATAGACATTTAATACAGTAAAATTCTGGTGTGTTGAGACAAGATCTCACTATGTAGTTCTGGCTGACCTGGAACTGGTTATGTACACCAGGCTGGCCTTGAACTCACAGAGATCTGCCTGCCTCTGCCTTCCAAATGCTGAAATTAAAGCAAGGTGTGTGCTACTACGCCCAGATTAGGTAAAATTCTTTAAAAATTTCCAGTCCGTTTTCCCATTTCAGCAAATCTCCGGTAATAACCTTTCATTACAATGAGCTTTGAGACAGAACCCATCCAGGCCTGCTTTTGTCTCCAGGTGCTGGGGATGGATTTGAGGGCCTTGTGCTTGCCTAGCAGACATGCTCACACAGAGCAGGATGGCTTCCTTATCGTGTCCCCACACACAGTATGAACTAACCTGGAGCAGTTAGTTTGCCTTTCTTTGTTCTTGGTTTGCTTAGTTTTAGTTTCATTTTCTTTTTTGCCTTTCTTTATCACTCCTTTTCTAGAAGTAACTTAATCTGATTGTGTTTGTTCCCCCCCGCCCCAGGTTTCCTAGTGGCAGAATTAATGCAAATTATGTGTGTCCTCAGTCTTGTTCTGTTCCGTTCTTGCTAAGACTAATTCGAGCCACATTTGGCTAAGATCTTGTTCATCAGGTTTCTTTATCATGAAGTTGCTGTTTCCTTTCATAAAAGAAAAACAAGGAAGTGCAAATTCTGTGTGTGTGTGTGTGTGTGTGTGTGTGTGTGTGTGTGTGTGTGTGTATTCCTGGGCTAGAACTCAGACCTTCCACATACATGCAACAAACCAGCTTCTAAGTATACAATCAGCTGTGTTAAAATGATATAAAAGGTTAAACAATAACCAGGATTTCATGAATCCTTGGTAGTATAAATTGCGCCATTTGTAGTCCCTTGTAGGAATATGGCACACATTTACTTGAGAGTTCTGAAAGGCATGCCCTTTTAGAGGGTATGAGACAGGGTTTCGTTGTATTGCCCAAACTGATCTCATACACTTCTACACATTTAAGCAAATCCTCCTGCCTTGGTATCTGAGTAAGTAGACTACTGGCATTCGCCTCCATGCTCAGGAAAGGGCATCCTTTTATTAATTGAAATGTCAACGGCAGCCGGAGCCATATGTCAATGGATATGCCTGAGCTTGGAGCATTAAAAGATAATGAAGAAAAAGATGGGCTGTGAGGAGTGTAACAAAATGAGGAAAGCTCATCAGAAAGAAGAAGGGATGGGTAGAGGAAACTGTCTAACTGGAAAGCCTACGTTGGCAAATAGGAATTCCAGCTTAATGGGTAGGTAATCTCAGGCCGATACCTTGGCAGACAGTGTCCTGCAGATTTGTGTTTGAGACTACCTGAATGTGAAGTTCTCTTCACTAAGATCATGGACTGGTGCTTGCAAAGGGTCAAGCACACAGACTTGCTGCAGTCACTGGCAGGCCATGGTTGGAGGCCAGTATTTTTATAAGTACTAAATATCAAAGCCAGTAGTTGGCATTTGGTGTGACAGGAAGTAAGGAGTGCCGATGGCTAGAGAGGGCAAAAGTAACCCGTTAATTCATTCTTCCTCTTCGTAAACAAAAGGGTGAGTTTCTTCCAGTCATGAAAGTGTGACCCTGTATAAGACAAAATGCCTGCTCTCAAAGGGGGCAGTTGTATACCTGTGAGAACAGGAGTAATAAAGGCTGGAGAGATGGCTCGGTGGCTAAGGGCACTGAGGGCTCTTCCAGATAGATGATCAAGGTTCAGTTTCCAACATCCACATGGTGGCCCACACCTTCTGTAACTCCAGTTCCAGTGGATCCAAAGTCCTCTTTGGCCCCTACAGGCGCCAGACAGGTAGGTGGTGCACAGACATACAGGCATACAAAATAAAATAACAATGCTTAATATTGTTGAAGAAGGGAAGAATATTATAACACTTAAGACAGAGTGTGTCAAAAGGAGAAAAGGGATGGGGAGAGAGAGAGAGAGAGAGAGAGAGAGAGAGAGAGAGAGAGAGCGCGCTGAGCAGTGGTGACCTTGACTTCCACCCCTTTTCACTTTATTTTATGGTGTAATAGGAAACACTTGGGAAAGAACATTCAAGACCGTGGCTGGAAAATCTTTTCTTGAAGTTCCCTAATCGCCCTGTGTCTCCCTTCCTTATTTGTAACATGGAGATATTAATAGCGTCCACCTCATGCCCTTGCTGTGAGGCGAAAAGAAAATATGTAGAGAATCCATTCCAGGCACAGTAGGAAACCAGGACACGGGACTGTCATGGCTGTGTCTCCTCACCCTAAATCTAAGAGGCGGGCACGCTCTGCCCAGGTTGCCAGGGAAACATAGAGACCGGAGAACCTGACCCTTTCTCTGATTCAGTTCCCATGCCTACCTTTAGGGAGTGTCTGCAGCAGCGGATCCTGCCAATGCTTGTGTTTTTTTCTAACGGACAGTGTGGGTATTCCTTGGGTTGTTTCTAGACCCCAAGAGGGAGAGCATGGGATAATAGTCTCTTCTCTTCATTTCTTGTTCTTTCCATCAGAGAAAAAAACTAGACAGATAATGTCAAAGCCTCCTTTAGTAACGCTATTTAGGGAAATTCTGACCTTA